GGAAATCACAAGCGAGAGCGCGACTCTTGTATAAATTGCAAGGCAGCCCCTAGCGAGAGAGCGATTCCTCAGTGAATGCGAGGAAGTATCAGGCGGGAGCCGTTGTTGTTGTAGTCCGGGGGCCAGGGGCGCAGTTTGAGCAGGAAGGATCATCCTTACTGTGCGGGTCGACTGTATTGCGAAGGCCCCCGTTATTTGCACGCTTCCTGGCGTTTCTTCCTACATGGGTGACGCCACGAGCAGCATCTCAGAATACGAGGGGTCATCTAGGCGTTGACGCACGCCCTGGATCATCCAACTCCCTGCTTCCATTTCCGCGTTGACTCCTTGCTGGTTGCCAGGCAGCGTAGCTTGGCATGGAGATGTGTGTCCCCAGGATTGCGGCCATTGTGCATGCGAGCGCAAGATCCAGCATGCAAAAGTTAAACAGCTACATATATGTATATATAGGCACATTTATTCATGTAAAAATACCTCTATATATAACCATCGCGCGCGCTCAAGTTCTAGCTAGGCTGAAGCTTCCAAGAACCACGAAGACGGCCCAAGGGGCTTCCAAGACTTCCCACGGTCCACCCACGACGGCATCAGACAGACCCAAAAGGCACTTCGGGGGCCCTTTTATTCGCCGCGGCTGGACGTAGCTGGTGAGGAGGAGTTGGAGAGGGTGGAGGAGGCCGCAGAGGACAAGGAACCGGAGGAGGAGGAGGAAATATGGCATGTCCTTTTTTGCTGCAAGCGTAGCGAAGCTGCCAGGCGAACTTTCAAAAAAGAACTGTTGGAATTCTCGTTTTTCTTAAGTGCCCTCGGGGCCGCTCTCGGGGCTCTTTTGGGCCTCTTTGGGGATTTGGGGGGACCTCTTGAAGCCTCCTGGGGGTCTCCTGGAGCGAAAATCTCGGATTCTCGCTTCACGTTCTCGATCCTGGGCCGTGGTTGGGGCCCTCTCGGGGCTTTATGGACGGCTCGTCGGCGCTTTTGAAATCTATTGGGCCGTCTTGAAGCGCTTTTGAAGCCTATTGGTCCGTCTTGGGGCGATCCTCAGAGCCTTTGGGGCGTGTTGCAGCGTCGGGGAGCGGAACAGGCGGAAACACCAAAATTGATCAAAAACCAATGGAAAATAATTGTTGTTTGGCCTCTTCGAGTTGTGTTGGGAGACCTCTTGGAAGCCTCTTGGGTATCTTGGGGACCTCTTGGGCCGTCTGAAGGCCGTCGTGGGCGTCTTGAACCATCTAGTGGCCTTCGGCCCATCCCGCCACCGTGCCTGGGTTGTGGGTTAGAGGCCTTTCGGAAGTTCGTTTGGAATTCGAGGTAGGCCTCCCGGGGGGCCTATTGAAGGCAGTTTGGGAGGCCTCTTGGGGGCCGTTTGGGGGGTCTTTGGGGGCCTTTGGGGGGGCCTCATTTTGGGCCTCTTTGGAGCTCTAGGGGGTCTCTAGGGGGTCTCTTGGGGGCCTCTTAGGGGTCTCCTGGGGGCCTCTTGGGGCGGCAGGCTCGAATTGTCGGTTCGTGTTCCCCCTCTTGGGGCAGTCTTGGGGTCCTCTTGGGCGATCTTGGGCACCTCTTGGGCCGTCTTGGGGCACTCGTGGGCCGTCTTGGGACTCTCTTGCGCCGTCGTGGCGCCCTCTTTGAGTGCCTCTTGGGCCCTCTTGAGCTGATTTCTGGGGCCTCGTGGGCTGTCTTGGACCGTCGGAAGCACGAAACAGCGAGAAAACGAAAAACCTGCAAAAAAAACATAGACAAGACCAACTTGTTTCGCCTCCTGAGGGCCTTGTGAGTCCTTTTGAAGGCATCTTGGCCGTCTTGAAGCCCTCTTGGGCGGTCTTCAAGCCATGTTGGACCAAATTTGAAACGCTCTTGTGCGGTCTTGGGCTCTCTTGGAGCGCTACTGGGTCATCTTGGCGCCCTCTTAGACTTCTCTCGGGCCCTCTCGTCGCCACCCTTCCCCTCCTTTGACGCGTGCTGGCACCCCCGACGGGTCAAAAACGGCCTGAAAAGAAATCAGTGCACTCCGGGCCCCCCGGGACCCCCTCCCCATTTTATATATATATATATATATATATATATATATATAATATATATATATATATATATATATATATATATATATATATATATATACATATAATATACATATACATATACATATACACATACATATACATATACAAACATATATATATGTATATATGTGTATATATACATATATATATATACAGATACGCATACATATACGTATACATACATATACATATGCATACACACACCAGACTATTGAATAGTCCTCCTGTACAGGGACAGGCCCGACTTAAAGCTATACGCAGACCTCCAAAAATCTGCGAAATGTTCGGGACGGAGGGGTTTCGCCGCTTTCGGCCTCTGGGGGCCCTAAAACGAAGCCAGGACGAAGATACAATCGGATGAGGATAAATTGAGAATCTCCCGTGGCTCTGGAGGATGTCTCGGGCGCCGAGGCCTTCTCAGAGCGTTCTGGAACGCTATGACAGCGTTCCGGAACGGTCTGGAACGGATCTATCCTCGTCCTAGCCCCGTCCGAATTTCGCCGCTTTCGGCCTCTGAGGGCCCTCGCTGGGCCCCAGGACCGCCGAAAAACTGCTCTGGATGAAAAGGTGGCCCCAGGGGAAGGGTCGCGACATCAGGGGACCCCGCATTCAACAAAATCAGAACATCGGATGTCTCGGCACCCAAGACCCCGACGTCATGATCTACTCAAAACGCCGACCCCTAGAGGTCTCGACCCATTCCCCAGGACCGTTCTCTCATCCTGGATATCGTCTCTGTGGACAGTCCTGGGGCTCGGCGAGGGCCCCCGCCGAGAACTAGCAACAACCGTCCGTCGGGGGCAACCAAGAGGGGGGCGTCCAAGAAAGGGGTGCGCAGATCATAGCCAGCGGCACGTGCGCGGCCCGGGAGGGAAGGCCTAGGACGCATTGAAATATCAAGAGGCGCCATGAAAGTTGGGGAGATATCATAGCCCTCGCGATGAGATCCACATCCCCCTAGGTCATCAACCCCCCTCCCTGCCCCACCCGAATCCGTCATGATTCGCTTTCCAGGACTCGCGGGGGCCCGGGCACGCGCCTGCGCCGATCCTGGCCGGTCCCGCCCTGGGCCCAGGAGCGGCCAGGTCGCAGGGCCAGCGCAAAGGGGGCAGCGGACGCCCTCCCCATCTTGGCCTGGTTGTGCGCCTCCCAGTAGTTGCGGGTCGACGTGAGCCACGTCAGGTCCGCGCACACCTCGCGCACGAGGGGAGGGCGGGGGAGGAACCGAGGGAGGGGGACGGACAAGTGGGCGCATCCGATGGCAGCCGCAGAGCCCGAGGGGAAAGGGGGGACAAGGAGCACACACTGCTCAAGGATTGACGGCCTGGCACGCGACGGGAATGCCACGCACTGTGTCTCCTGAAAGACACCTTGCGGGCGCAGGACTGCTCATGAGTCCATTGGTATATATGAAAATATGGGTGCGCAAAACGCTGACGTCGCGACTCCCAACGGCATTTGAAGCAAACGCGGGCGCTGTGAAATTTCGCGGATCACGCTCGGCACCATATCCACAAATATTGCGGCGACGTCTCCGTCAGCGTTCCCTCATACGTTTGGAGGAGTAGGGAGAAACTGAGGGAACGAGACGCGATCAAGAAACGAGCCGTCGCAGGATCGTAAGCGAACGCACCGAAGAGGCGGCAAGCTCGGCACGCCGAGGATACGACGAGGGCGAGGCCGAGCACCGACATCCGCATCCGCACTACCGCGCGGCCGCGCGCCTTGGAGGCGTCGGCGGCGGGGCCGTGGCCCCTCAGATGACGACGAGGACATTATGGAGCCAGTTCGGCGAGTGGAAGCGATGCGAGTTCGACCAGGCCTCTCCTGCGTTCGCCCGGCGGCCCGCGGGCCGCAGACACAAGGCCTGCAAGCCCGTCGCGACCATCGGGCATGGCGGGCGGCCCCGGGGCCGCGCGCGGAGGCGAAGTCGAGGTGCGACAACGCCTTGACTGACGCCTCGATCGAGCATCGCCACGAGGCCATCGCCTCCTGGCCATCCAGCTGCAGCCCTCGCGGGATGTCGGGCCGCGAGGGAGGAGGAGGAGGAGGAGGAGGAGGAGGAGGAGGAGGAGGAGGAGGAGGAGGAGGAGGAGGAGGAGGAGGAGGAGGAGGGAGGAGGAGGGAGGAGGAGGAGGAGGAGGAGGACGCGCCCTCCTCTTTTGCCGCATCGCCTCGGTCCCATCACCTCGGTCGCCCTGAGGCCCGGAGCCGCCGCGGCCCCGCCGCACCCTCTCGCCTCCTCGCCAGGCGCGCCCGGGGGGCGGCGCTGTCCAGCAAAGGACTTGCGCTCGCCGTCGCCGGCTGCCGCGCGCGCTGCAACGGCGGCCGCGCGCCGACGCGCCTGGCCGCCTCGCCCCCGCGGCGCACCTCCCTCTCGGGCCCATCGCCGTCGGACGTGCTCTGGTCCGCTTTTTTGGTCCTTACCCTTGCCCTTGACCGCTGCAACTGCCGCGTGCCCGCGCGAGCCGATCGGCGCCGCTTTTCCCGCGCGCTGCCAGACCGGAGATGGCAAAGATGGTCGCCGCCCTGAGCCGCGGGCTGCGTCGCCGCTGCACCCCATCTCCCGGCCCCACCGCTGCTCGGGCGCGACGCGACGGGGACCTCGGCGGGGGGTGGCGCGGAAAACGCGGCTAGCGCGCGCTCGACCCGCGGCGACGGGGAGCGCGGCGACCTCGGAGCAGGCGCACAAGGACAGCTCTCGCTGGCGGGCAACCCCAGGGCCGCCTCGCCCGCGGGGAGGAGCGGATCCCAACCGCAGCCCGTCCAGGTGCCGAGGTCGACCAACTGCCAATATATAACTGCGGCAATCGAATCGTTTCTGAGGCGACCAAGCCGACCACATCTGAAACAACTTAGCGTTGAACAGCATCATGCTCGCAGAGATGGCCCCGCTGTCGCAGGTCGGCCGCGCGTCGTTCACCCGCCCCGCGGCGCGACGGGCTTCGCGAGCGAAGGCAGCGCATCAACGGCTCCATGACCGCGCCACTGAGCAGGCAATTCCGCGCCGCCACATCTGGGACGGCGGCGCTGATGCGCCAGTCCCTGAACAGGCGTGCACCTCTGCGTCCGCCCCGCTGCACGGCGGCCGCTGCGCTGGCCCCTCGCTAAATGCTGCGGGCGGCACCACAGGCGGAGAACAGCTGGCGCAGCCTTGCTGGCCAGGCCCACCCGAGCTGGACCAGACACCGCGGCCTAGCGGTGACGACGGGCGACGGAGGGCGGCTGCGAGAACGAGCGGCGGGTCGAGCCGGCAGATGCCCCCGCGGCACCAGCCGCCCTGCAACAATCCTCTGGCCGCGCCCCCGGATGGTTCGCTCCAAGCGCCGAGCCTCTGGCAACGGCGGCGGCACTGCCAGCGGCATTCCTGGCGGCCTCACCATGATTGACGGCTTGCCAGGGGGAAGGGCTGCGGGCCGAGCCCGCTCGCGAGGTGCTCAGCGGCCCCTGGGGGCCACGGGCACACAGATGGATCCGTCCTCGACTGCCGCGGCGGCGGCAGCGGAGGCCGAAGGGGCCAGCCCCTCGGCGCGCGGCCGCGCGCGCGGCAGCGGGCGGCCGCCAGCGCGCAGCGGCGCGCGTCGGGCGCCCGTGCGCGGGCCCGCCAGCGCGCGAGCCACACCGCGGGGCTTCGCGCGCCACGGCCAGCCGACGCGCGGGTGCGCCCGTCAGAATGACGGCGGCGGAACCATCGCTTCCTTCTCTGACTATTCTGACTGATCCCGTGCTACTTGCGCACGAGTACACACGCACGCAGGATGCTGAACACCAAGGCGATGTACGGCGAGGCTGGCCGCAAGTCGCGGACCCTGCAAATCGCCATTTTGCGAGGCGAAGATGTCGCCGCGAGCCGTCCTACGCCTCGAACCAGGCGCCCCTCAAGGCCTGGGCGTCGGCGGTCAACAAGCAGAAGAGGCCTACCGCTGCCTTCGGCTCAGTCTGCGGGAATGGCCAGTCCAGGGAGCGGTGGCGCTCACACTGCGGCGGCTGGGCTGGGAGGAGCTCCCCTGGCGCAAGTGGCAGACCGACCAGGGCCACGTCATCGACCTCGAGTGCTTCAGCCCGGTCGTGGCTGGCACGCCGGGCGCGCTGCTCCCGAAGGTGCCCAACCACCCTGGATTCGCTGCGCCGGAGGAGCGCCCGCCTGAGCTTGACGTGCTGCGAGCCGGCCCGGACGAGGTCAGGAGGAAGGGGGACTCCGAGATGCCGCAGCTGGTGGAGGTGGTCGTGACAGGGGGCCTGGTACCGCAATACGACCTGTTCGCCGAGAGGTCCGCCCAGGACCTGGGGAAACCAAAAGGTACCGATACCGCTACTCCCTGGACCTCTCCCGGGGTGCGTTCTGAGCAGGATCTCGAGGCGAGTCCCGCGGTGGCAACGAGGGCCTCCGAGGAGACCGAACAATGGGAAGACGGCTGGAGGGTAGAGCTATGGGTACCTGTTCCTCCTCCGAGAGAGCTCCGCCCCGGACCCCCAGTGCCAGTGGTGCTGGGCTGCCGTGGGCGCCTCCAGGCGCCGCCTCGTCGGCTGCGACGGCGCGCCAGGGGGTGGCCTGGGCGCGTGGCTGCCAGGACGCGGCCACGCCAGGGCGCACCGCCCCGCCCGAGGACCTGGGCGTGCTGCGGTGCCTGGTGGAGATCGAGCTCAAGCTCGACTGGGTCGCGCCGGTGAGCGTGTGCTTCTTCGGCGTTTCGACATCGGGGGGAATCGGGGATGGACAGGACCCCCATTTAGCAAAACGTGGTTTGATGAAAACGACCTCGGGCCCAAACCTGGCGGGCGCAAGCCTGGAAAATGACGGCCGCGGCGCCCTCTCGAGAACCGAAAACGGGCAATTCACTAATCGACGTGTCGGGGTGGGGGTTCTGTCCGCCCCCGACGGAAGGGCCGTGAGGGGGAGGGGGGGGGGTCTGGCTCTGGACCTCTGCTCAGTGCGACTGTTTGCAGCAGTGCGTCCTGTGCGGGAGACTCCACCTGCTCGAAGCAGGCGCCCAGAACAGTCAAGATCCACTCCATGGGGGGGAGGGGGTGTGCGAGGCCCGCGCCGATCTGCAAAACAAAGAATAAGAAAACGACGACCTGGGTCGCGGCGCCCGCGACGAAGGAGCCTCCCATACCATCTTGTCGGCTCTTGCGAATCGACGCTAGATCGACGCTAACCGACGCTAACCGACGCTACATCGGCGCTATCTCACCGACTCCCAGACGCTAATCGACGCGAAAGACAAAATTCAGAGAGGATTTGTCGGTCGGAAGAAGTAGGTAAGAAATTGAAGTGGGAAGGCGGATAAAGTAGATTGGGTTCAGGCCCTCCCAGAGAAGAACAAGACGCAGCGAAAGCAGATCGATTCTTCTTGAAGTAGGGGGGCGCTTGAAGTAGATTGAGACCTGGGAATCCGAAAATGCCTACTTTCAGCGACCAGCGGGCATACCAGGCTCCCATGATTTGCGACCGAATCGAGCTGGGTCGCGCCGCCCGCGTCGCAGGAGCGCTGTTTCAGGATGGGGGAGGGCGCTGCGCAAGGGCTGTGGGAGGGCCTGGCATGCGTGGGCAGCACCGCCACCCCCTGACTGCGCACGCCGCGCTCCACCGCACGGGCTGGGGCGCGGGACCGCACTGACCCGGGTGGATGCAAACCCGGGTCAGTCGGGCCTTGCAGGATCCTGCGATATCCTGCAGGATCCTGCAGAATCCTGCAAACTTACACGGGTCAGTGCGCCCCTGGCGGTGCAGGACACTGCATAGTCTGGCGCTCTGGCTGACCCCCGTCTGCACTGACCCCCGTCTCTTGAGCACCGAGGGGCGCGGTCAAGGCGCTGCCCGGCGGCTCCTTCGCGGGAGGGACGTGCGGTTGCGTCCCCGGGCCCGTCCAGGAGATAGGCTGCGCGGAGCTGTAGGCGATGCTGAGGGTTCTCCAAGACAAAGGAGGCCCGACCCACATCGCCACCGATGGCAGGGGCCTGGTTGACGATTACCTTCGAGGGGCAGCCTACTGCGGTTCAGCAGAATCCAAATACGCGGACCTCTGGAAGCAGGTGTGGTGGCACATCGAGGATCTCGGCCAGGGCGAGTCTGGGGTCCAGCTCACGTGGATCCGGGCCCACAGCAGGTGGGCACGGGCGCAGGAGCTCGGTATCGATTGGGCGCACGTCCTCGGCAACAAGGAGGCCCACAGGATCGCCAAGATAGGTGCCAGGTGCCACGACCAGGGTGGCCTTGCTGAGGCGGAGGCGCGTCTCACTGCGGCCCGTGAAAATGCTGGCCGCATTTTGCTTCATCACGGTAAGGTGTTGAAAAGAACTGGCCTGACAGGGACCCCCTGCCCAAGGCTCAGGCCCATGCGAGGTCCTCTGGCCCTGTCCTGGTCATTGAGTCCTCGGACAATGGGCATCGGCTTGGCCAACATGGGCGTTGTTGGGGCTGTAGCGTCTGCGGAGACAGAAGGGCCTCTCGAGCCCGAGTTGTCGCTCGGCCCTGCCCTGGAATGCCGCGTCTGGCCACCCAGGCCAACGGGCCCGTCGGCTGTGGATTCTGCGGGTGTGTCGGGCGGGGTCGTCGCCGTCGTGGTTGGGAGGCACCATAGCCGATGGGACCCTGAATCCGATCGTCTTCTGTGGAAGTTTCGGGGCATACGGCCGCCGCCAGACACATCTGCGTGGGAAAGAACGCAATCTTGAGAAACAAGGGCTGGCCGGCCGCTCAGAAACTGACGCGAAAAGTGCTTGACTCCCTCTGGACGGGCCGAAATCCTCAGACAGGAATGTTATGGGGCCTCCCCGTTTCTATTTCGGTCTCCTGGACGAGCGGTGTAGAATTGCCGTTTCATCCAAACCCTAAGCCTCACAGAGGTGGTGAATGCATTCTCTGGCATTGCGAGCTTGGGTCTGGAACCCGAGGTCCTTTTTTCCCCAGGGCCGTCCCTGCGATAGTCGTAGGTAGGCGAGTCCTGCATTGCGGGGCTCGTTCTTGTAGGACATATCGGACATATGGAGGAGGAGGAGGAGGAGGAGGAGGAGGAGGAGGAGGGGAGGAGGAGGAGGAGCAGGAGCAGGAGAAGGAGGAGGAGGAGGAAGAGGAGGAGGAGGAGGAGGAGTTGTGCATGTGTGGCCAAGGGGTGCAGCAGAGGAGGGGGGGGAGGAGGAATTGGTGGTGGTGGAAGAGCAAGTGGCGGAGCAGGAGAAGCGAGCTGGGCGCGAGCGAACCAGTTCCTGGCACGTAAGGATTGCGCGCAGGGGGGCGCGCGTCCCCCACCGCGCCGCGCCGCCTTGGCGGTGAACAGCTGGGCGAGCAGCAGGAACAGAGAATTCAGAGCCTTCTCGACGGTGGTCACCATCTGATCGCCATAGCCGACCGAAGTAATGCTGAGGACCGTGAAGTACACCGCCTCGGTGTAGGTCACGACGCAACTGGAGCCCTGCCGCAGCTTAGAGACACCCGCCACGCCAAGGGAGAGGGGAGGGGTCCGCATCCTGTTTGTCCTCCTCCTCCTCCTTTTCCTCCTCCTCCTCCTCCTCCTCCTCTTCCTCCTCCTCCTCCTCCTCCTCCTCCTCCTCCTCCTCCCCCTCCTCCTCCTCCTCCTCCTCCTCCTCCTCCTCCTCCTCCTCCCCCTCCTTACTGGGCTAGGTGGACGCCTCGGGGGCCTGCCTGGCTCACACACACACAATGCCGTGATGTTTCGGCACCGTGGGGCCAGAGGGGCATCCCCCAGCCCGCGAATGACAGTGTATCTCACGGACAGCCCGATACCAGCGCGTCGAGAACTGCACGGCGCGCGTTACCCGTAACCTCTTACCGTAGATATGCGACCTTTCGAAGTAGTAGTTTGCACGAACATCGCACCACGCGTACAGCTGCGTCACCCCCGCACACGCGCAAGGCCGAACCCTATCCTATGCGATCCGACCCTCCGCATCCTCATCTCCATCAGCATCACCATCTGCATAACTACCATCACCATCACTCATCATCACCATCATCCACATCATCATCATCATCATCATCATCACCATCGTCATCAACATCCTCATCGTCCCCATCACCCGCATAATCAACAGCATCAGCATCAGCAGCATTAGCGTCATAATCAGCAATGTTATCATCAGCAGCATACTCCGCATCATCATAATCGTCATCACCAGCAGCATCAGCATCATCATCATCCTCAGCATCACCCTGATCCGCATCAGAATTAGCATAATGATCATTCTCACCATCATCATCAGCAGCAGCATCGCCATCATCAGAATCATCCGCATCATCACCATCAGCATCACCATCATCATTCGCCTCATCATCATAGTCGTCCGCATCATTTTCATCATCATCAGCATCACCATCACCATCATCAACAAGACATCCTCATCATCATCAGCATCGGCATCATCATCAGCAGCATCATCATCATCATGATCAGCATCAGCATCATCAGCAGCAGCATCATCCGCATCTTGTTCTTGCCCGGACAGAACACCTGGGCGACACAACCTGAAGGGAGGTGCCCAAGGTGCCTGCATGAATTCACATACAGTCGGACCTCGCAACATGAACGGCGGCACAGACCCGCCCCAGGCGTCACAACTGCACCGCCGTTGCGAGGTGCCTCGGGATGCCACCCCGAGACACGGCCACGGGCACCATCCCCACTTGGCCGCTGGCCTCAAGCAGCGGAGACCCTGCTGCCCAAGGACTTCATCATCAGCATCAGCAGCATCATCATCATCAGCATCAGCATCATCAAAACGTCATCATCCTCAACATCATCAGTAGCATCAGCATTGTCGTCATCTTCATCATCAGCATGATCAACCGCAGCATCAGCAGCAGCATCATCATCACAACCACCACCAGCACCATCACCATCATCAGCAGCAGCACCATCAGCAGCAGCAGCATCATCATCATTACCACCATCACCACCACGACTATCATGATCATCATCAGCACCATCCACAACATCATCAACAACTAGGCACTGCCAATCTTCTGCGTCCCATTCACAGGGCGCCGCCTGGCCGTCGTCTATCCAGGAAGGTACGCCGGCGTTCTGAAGAAGGGGCGCGCCCACGGGGGAGGGCGCGCAGCATCGCATCGCGCCGCCGTCCCGCGTTGCTGAGCCGTCAAGCCAACTGGCAATCCACGCCGAATCCACGAAGGCTCGCAATGGCGGCGCACTCTCTGCAACTACTTCCGCTACACGGCTTCCGGGCGGGTGCTCGCGGGGGGTGGCCCAAACGGAGGGGTGAAGAGAAGGTCCCGAAAGGGGCCATTTCGGGCCCCTTTGGGAGCCAGCAGGTGCCCAAAAGCGGCCCTAAAGGGCCCCCCAGGGTACTTTTCTTCACCACCACCACCCCATTCGGGTCTCCGCCCATTACCACCCGCGCGAGGCTACTCGTGCGAAGTGTGCCACATGCTCCAGCCGCGGCAGGTGCGCCACTTGCGCGACGCTCGCAGAGTGCGCCAAGTGGGCAAACGCGCGTGACAGCACGCATCCGGCCATATGTCGACACCCCCCTCAATCCTTGTCAAAACCAATGCAAGGGTGGCGGGGGTATCACCGGCACAGTGTATGGACCGCGTGCATCCGCAATCAGTCAGCTTCAGTCTCACAGGGGCAGCGGTCGAGCGCACAGCGGACGAACATGATCACCCCTCCGCCCCCCTCCCCCATGTCAAAAGCCAAAGTAGGGTGCCTGTGGGGTGCCCGCTCGCGAAGGAGGGGAGGTGAACGACGACGGACACCACGATTAAAGCGTCCGCCCCCCTAAACGCACGCTGAAGGGCGTGATGAAGACTGACTACATTGACGTCCTCGTCCTCTTCCTCCACCTCCACCACCTCCTCCGTATGGTCCGCATCCTCCTCATCCACCTCCTCCCTCCCTCAATCCCTTCATGCCTGCCGTCCTTCCTCCCTCCTTCACTGCCTCCCCCTCCTCCCTCTCTCCCTCCCTTCCTCCCTCTGTGCCCCCCCCCCTCCTTGCTGCCCCTCCTCCCTGCCTCCTTCCTTTCGTCCTTCCCCCTTCCCTCCTCACTCACTTCCCCAGCCCCGGCCTCGCTCGCGGTCCTCTGCCCCTGCAAAGAGTAAACCTCAAGAGCCACTTGAAAATCACGGTCCTTATGTATGAAGCTAATTAAGCAAATGAGACGCGCAAACACGATGGTGATGTATCACAGTTCTCGTCGTCATTTTGCATCACTGTAAATTATCATATTAGTCCTCCTCATCATCCTCAGCATCACCAGCATCATCAGCATCATCATCAGCATCAGCATCAGCAGCACCATCACAACCATCACCGTCGTCGTCACCAGCATATGCAACAGCAACTGCATGATTCACATCATCAGTCATCGTATCGTCGTCGTCGCCGACGTCATCAGCATCACCCAGATCACAGTCAATATCGACGTGGCCATGATCGGCATGATCGCGGTCAGCGTTGTCGTCTTCATCCAGCGCATCCTCACCACTACGCTCATTATCGTCGTTATCAGCAGCATCATAGTCGCCCTCCTCACCTTCCTCCTCCTCCTCCTCCGTCTCCACCTACGCCTCTTCAGACACTCATCATCATCATCATCATCATCAGCAGCAGCATCATCATGAGCAGCATCATCAGCATCATCACCATAATCAGCATCACCAACAGCATCGTCATCATCATCAGCAGCACCATCAGCAGCAACAACATCAGCATCATCATCGCAATCATAGTCAGCAGTATCAATATCAGAATCCTCAGCAACATCCTCACCACCACCAGTCATCACAAGCATCCGTCTCAGCGGCACTAGCAGAATCATCATCAGCAGCATCAGCAGTGTCGTCACCCTCATCGTCACAATTATCATCACCACCAGCATCATCATCATCATCAGCAGCAGCAGCATCCCAGTGCTTCCCTGCTCCCTGATCCCCCCCTCCTCCTCCTCCTCCACCTCCCCCTCATCATCAGAATCAGCATCATCAGTATCAGCATCATCGTCGTCATCATCAGCATCATCATCAGCACCATCATCATCAGCAGCATCAGCATCAGCAGCATCGGCATCGTCGGCATCGTCATCATCATCAGCATCAGCATCATCATCATCATCATCATCATCATCATCACCAGCATCAGCATCACAACCACCACCACCACTGCGATCATTATCATCATCATCACCACCACCAGCATCATCATCATCATCAACACCATCATCATCAGTCGCATCATCACCATCAACATCAGCATCATAACCACCATCACCATCATGACCGTCACCATCACCGGCACCACCACCATCAGCATCATCAGCATCAGCATCATCATCACCATCATCATCATCATCATCAGCATCATCAGCATCATTATCATCATCATCATCATCATCATCATCATCATCAGCAGCATTACCAGCATCATCAGCATCAGTATCATCATCAGCACCATCAACATCAACAGCATCAGCATTATCATCATGGACAACAGTTTCATCATCAGCAGCAGCATTATCATCATCAGCATCAGCATCAGCAACATCAACATCAACATCAACATCATCATCAACACCATTCACCATACCTCCTCGGCGTAGGGAGCCTCTAGATACTCGGTCCAGCTCTCGTCGCCATTGGCGATCTCGTGATTGCCAAGCGCCAGAAGCGTGCAGGCCATGAAGTGCGCCAGGAGGAAGAGCTGGAGTCCGATTTTGAAGCTCGAGGACTCGAGGAGGAGGAAGGAGCAATGAGAGGAGGGAGTGAGGGAGGGAGAAAGCGAGGACGCGGGGGAGTGGGAGAAGAACGGGGGAGGGAGAAGGAGAGGAGAGAGGGGGAGAGAGAGAGAGAGAGGGATAGAGAGAGAGGAAAAAAAAGGAACCAAGAAGAGAGACAGAGGAGAGGAGAGGAGAGGAGAGGAGAGAAGAGATAAAGGACATTGGAGGGTTGGATAAGGAAGAGAAATCTGCCTACCGCATCTCTCCTCGTGCATTCCTCCTCCACCCATCATTTAACCCTTGCCCCCCTTAGTCCGACTCCCCATGGAAGCATCCCCAAACCGCTACTAAGGTCTCCGAGTGCCTCCGACGATTCCTGGATGTCTTCGAACACTCCCGAAAACAGTTTTTTTCTGAGAACAGCTGACCAGCAGATTCTTCGTCGCCCCCTCCTCTCAGGCAAGAAGCTCGAATCCTCGTCCTCCTCGCTATTATTATTTATTATCTTCCCCTGCTCTGATGCGTTTTGTCATTGAGTGTCTCGTCATGTTCCCTCCTCCGTGTCCTCCTCCTCCACCTCATCCCCGTGTTCCTCTTGCTTGGACAATGGAAAGCATTCTTCTCAATCAGGCGGTGCCGAGAAAGAGACAGAAGCGCATGATCGACCCTCCCATCGGCAACTGCCTGCTACAGCAGGCGCGCATGCCCCCCCCTGGGGTGGAAGAGTTATGACTTCCGAGACCGGCTCAAGACAAGACGCCGAGGCGGGGTCCCACAACGGTGCGGTGAAAGACCGTGCGGCGACCTCGAAATCTCCAAAGACCCCACCGCACGGCCCGTCGCGTTCTGGCCGCGCGCAGAGGAGGGGTAGGGGGGGAGGGGGGGCGGCGTCTTAGCAGCGGGGCGTGCTTCTGAGAAGCCTTCCCCCCCTCCTGCGCCCCTCTGCACGTGGCCGAGATTTTTTCCAGGACCCTGGAGGCCCCGCTTGCCCAAGACGGCCCCGGAGAACGACCCGACTCCAAGAGCGGCCACACCCCGGAGCCTCACGGACTCGTCACACCGGGGGGGGGGGCTTCCGAGGAGCGTCCGGGCCCCGGAGCGAGAGGCCCGGGGAGAGCAGTGGCAGCAGCGGGGCCAGAGGGTCATGCGGCAACGAGAGGCCTGGGATTCGGTCGGGCATGTCCTCCTGCAGGCGGATTTTGGGCGAAAAATGAAAACTGGTGAAACCAAAATAATCAAGCAGTGTCAAAATATCGTCCCCCGATTTTCTTTTTTGGACCATTTTTGAACACTCCTCCTGTAGGGAGTCCTCGCCATCGCTCGCACGTCCATTCCCTGTGCTTTTTTCGGTTTCGTGCAGGGCTTTTTCGCCAAATGATCGAGGATGCTCCTCGATGGCCCTCGCCGAAGGAAAAGTGCACACGTCCGAGCGATGCCATGAGCCAGGCCCGACTGAAGCCTGGGACGGGAGCCCGCGCCGCTGGAGGTCCGCAGCGGTCCCGGGCGGCGCACGCCGCCAGGCAGGGCTCCCTGGCTCGGCCACGCGCAGGAGGAGGGGCCTGCGGGGGGAGAGGGGAAAGGCTGCTCGGCAGGGCTCGAGCTCAAGAGTGCTTCTCGCTCTCGTGTCGTGTTCGCCCTCCCTCGTGCTGTCTTCCCTCCGCCCTGGCTGCAAAGCGACAGCGACACGAAGCCCGCCAACGCAATCGCCAGAGCACCGCTCAGGTCGACCCCTGTCCGGCAGCGGGTCCGGGCGGCGCATGCCGCCAGAGAAAGCGAGCATGGTCAGGGCACGCGATGCGCATGGGCCCATCCAGCTGGCATCGGCGCGTGGCCACGTGACGGGACACCGAGTGGTCGGCAGCCCGCAGACCATCCGACTCAGACCGAACTGTGAGACCGTCTTCGGTGGCAACTCATGGGAGCCTCCCACACCATCTTGTTGGCTCTTGCGAATCGACGCTAGTCGACGCTAACTCGAGGCTAACTGACGCTAACTGACGCTAAGTCGGCGCTATCTCATCAACTCCCAGACGCTAGTCGACGCTAATCGACGCTAAAGACGGAATTAAGAGGGTATACACGGCTCCAATGATTTGCTATCGAAACCGTCCAAGAGACCGCGGACAGAGGCATGTGGAGCTGGACGTCCCTCGCACGTGGCCCTGAACAATGCCTGAGTATAGCGGAGTAATCCTCTGAATGGTGTGCATACGTGATCTACTCTTATGACATTCCAGGTCTGCGCCACCGTCACTGACCTCTGCGGAGAGGTGCATTCAGCAAGTCTTAACACTTCCTCCTCCTCCTCCTCCTCATCCTCATCATCATCATCATCATCATCATCATCAGCATCATCATCATCATCATCATCATCATCATCATCATCATCATCATCATCATCATCAGCATCATCATCATCATCAGCACCATCAACATCAACATCAACATCAACATCATCATCATCATCATCATCATCAGCATCATCATCATCAACATCAACATCAACATCATCACATCATCATCATCATCATCAGCAGCAGCAGCAACAGCATCATCATCATCATCAGAATCATCCTCAGCATCATCATCATCATCATCGTCGACATCACCGTCATGATCATCATCATCAGCAGCAGCATCATCAGCAGAATCAGTATCAGAATCATCATCATCATCAGCAGCAGCATCATCAGCATCAGCATCATCAGCATCATCAGCATCATCAGCATCATCAGCATCATCATCCTCATCATCATCATCAGCATCAGCATCATCATCATCAGCATCATGCTTATCATCATCATCATCATCATCATCATCATCATCATCATCACTATCATCATCAGCAGCATCGTAATCATTATCACCATGACCATCCGCAGCACCGTCATCATCATCATCATCATCATCATCACTATCATCATCATCATCATCATCATCATCATCATCATCATCATCATCATTGTCATCATCATCAGCAGCAGCACCGTAATCATCATCAGCATCATCAGCTGCATCATCATCAGCATCATCGTAATCACCACCATCATCGATATCATCATCATCAATATCAGCATCATCATCATCATCATCAGCATCATCATCCGCACCATCATAATAATCAGAATCAGCATCATCATCATAATCAGCATCATCATGATCAGCACCATTCGCAGCAGCAAAATCATCATCGTCAAACTCTTCATCAGCATCATCATCATCATCAGCAACATCGTCATCAGCACCATGATCATCAACATCATCATCATCACCATCATCATCATCACCGTCACCATCACCACCATCACCATCACCATCACAACCATCACCACCACAATCATGATCATCATCACCATCCTCCTCATCAGCATCCTCATCATCATCAGCACCATCATCATCATCATCAGCATCATCATCATCAGCATCAGCATCATCAGCATTGTCATCTTCATTATCATCAGCATTATCCTCATCATCATCATCAGCGCCATCATCATCAGCATCATCAGCATCATCGTCATACTCATCAGCATCAGCATAATCATCAGCGTCGTAACCATCATAAGCAACATCATCATCATCTTCAGCATCAGCATCAGCATCATCAACATCATAATAAAAACCATCATCATCATAATCATCATCAGCAGCATCATCTTCAACATCCTCACCATCATCAATATCGCCACCATTACCACCACCACCATCGCCACCACCAACAACACCACCACCAAAACCGTAATCATCATCATCGGCATCATCATCATAATCATCATCAGTACCATCATCGGCAGCACCATCATCATCATCAGCATCATCATCAGCATCATCATCGTCAGCATCAGCATCAGCATTGTCAGCAGCATCATCATACGTGTCATCATTATCATCAGCAGCATCATCATCAGCGCCATCATCATCAGAATCATCAGCATCAGCATCAACGCCAACATTATCAGCATCATCATCGTCGTCATCGTCATCGTCATCGTCATTATTATCTTCATCGGCGCCTTCGTTGTCGTCATCACCTTTGTCCTCATCTCCTCGTCTCCTGTTCAAAAATATCCCCTCTCCTCCTGCTCCTCCTCATCCTCCTCCTTCTTCTCCTCATGCTACTCATACGTCTGCCGTGATACTCCTACGATCCTCCTCTTCAATATCTCGGACCTTCTCCTCGCCGTCCTGCTCCCCCTGCTCATCCTAGTCCTCTTCATCTCCTCCTCCTCCTCCTCACCGGCATCGTCCTCGGTCAAAGACGGCCGCGAGCGAACCGCAAGTTGCTACTCACTGGCCTACAGCCGATGAAAGACCAGATCGGGCGACGAAAATCGAGTGCATTTACATAGATCCAGACACACGGCGCCTCAAGAAAGACACGACGGCCGTCCTCTATTTTCCTTCGTATGCTCTGGGTCTCTCCCGTAGCGTCAGCTCGTCCTCATCTCCCTCCTCCTCCTCCTCAGCCTCCCCCGCCCACTCCTCCTCCTCCTCCTCATCGTCCGCATCATCATTATCATCATCACCATCATCAGCATCATCATCATCAGCAGCAGCATCATCAGCATCATCATCAGCAGCATCATCACCATCGTCATCCTCCTCCTCATCAGCATCATCACCACCACCACCATATAATAATTACCACCATCACCATCAACAACGACAAAAACATCACCATCATCAGCATCGTCATCGCGATCGTCAGCATCATCATCATCATCACCATCATCAGCAGCAGCAGCAGCAGTAGCACCATCATCATAATCAGCAGCATCATCATCGGCATCATCATAATCAACATCACCATCATCATCATCATCATCATCAGCATCAGCAGCAACAACATCAACAACAGCATCATCATAATGGTCGTAATACCATTACCATCATCAAACTAGTTGTCAACATCATCATCGCCAGCATCATCGTCATCATCATCAACATCATCATCATCAGCAGCAGCATCAGCATCAGCATCAGCAAAATCATCCTCGACATCATCAGCACCATCATCATCACCACCAGCATCAACATCATCATCATTAGCATCATCATGATCTGCATTATCATCATCATAATCAGAAGCATCATCCACATCATGGTCATCAGCATCATCATCATCACCATCATCAGCAGCAGCATCATGAACATCGTCATCATCATCACAATCATAACCATCATCATCATCAGCATCGTCGTCATCATCTGCATCAGCATCGTCATCATCACTAGCATGATCATCATAATCAGCATCGTCGCCACCATCCTCATCAGCACCGTTATCATCGTCACCAACACCATCGCAAACACCATGGCCATCATCATCATTGCCATCATCATCAGCAGCAACATCATCAGTATGATCATCCGCATCATCAGCAGCATCATGATCTTCATCATAGACGGCATCAATATCATCAGCATCATCACCACCACCACCATCACCATCGCCATCACCATCACAATCATCATCAGCAGAATCATTACATCATCGTCAGCATCATCAGCAGCATTATCATCATTGTGTTTCTCATCATTAACATCATCACCATCACCATCACCATCACCATCACCATCACCATCACCATCACCATCATCATCATCATCATCATCATCATCATCATCATCATCATCATCATCATCATCATCATCATCATCATCCCCTGCTTCATCCTCCTCCTCATCCTCCTCCCCCCCTCCACGAATGTGGGCACCCGGGAGGCCCGTTCGGGACCCCTGGGACCATTCGCAAGACGACCCGCGACGAGGATTCAGTCCCGGGGATGGGGTCACCCTCCAGAAACCACGTGAGGAGAAAATGCGATTTCCGAGGGCTTGGGATGTTCCCTCCTGTGGCATGCATGTGCCCCCTGTGACTGCGCTCGGCGGAAGAGGATCATGCTCACGTACGAATTGCCAACCAATCACACGCCGCACTACCCGCCGCATGTCTCCACCACTACCCTTGCACTTCCCTCTGGCAATCGCCAACCGTACGCCCTGGCGATTCGGCATCCTAAATTGCACAACTCCGTCACGCGCAAGCTACAGGTACCAGGCACACTGCCAGACACCCGAAGAGCAGCCGACCGCAGGGCGAACGCGCCCGCGGCCAACCGATCGGGGGCCACGCGCAGCATCCCCGAGAGCGACGCGCCCGCCTTGAAGAAGATCCACACCACTCCCTTCAGAAAGAGGTGGCCGTCCTCCTGCACGTCCCTCGGGGCGTCCTTCGGCGCGCCGTCGGAGAATATGAGAGAGCAGAAAATCCACCCTCAGAATAATCACCACGACACGCGAAGCCGTTCAGTAAACGCACCCAGAGAAGGAATCGAACAGGGCAGAGCTGTTCAACAAACGCCCAGGGCCGTTTTGCAAACGCCAGTTATCGGGTCCGGGTGGTTTTACCTCCCTTGAAATATGCGTTATTACCCGAAGGGGGAAGGGCTCTTGGAGGCCTCTTGTGGGCTTCTTGGGGCCTCTTGGGGGCTTTGGGGGGGCCTGTTGGGACCTCTCGGGAGCGTCTTGGGCCATCTTAGGGCGCTCTTGCGCCGCTTGGCTCCTTCGGAGGTCATCCTGTGGGCCTCTCGCGGCCGCCTCAGGGCTCTCTTGGGGTCCTCTTGGGCCGTCTTGGTGGGGGGGGGCGGGTAACGGCAGCGCTCAGGCGGGATGGGGCACGTTGGGGCGGGGGTCCGCTGCGATCGCTATGGCATGCGAGCGAGCACCGAGCACCCGAGGTGGCGGGGGGGGCACAGCACCCCCAAACCCGTCCCACGTCGGCGACGCATTGACAGGAGTCAATGCAAACCCAGGTCAGTCAGGCCTCGCCGGATCCTGCAGGACCTGTAGGATCCTGCAAAATCCTGCACCCAAACTCCGGTCAATGCAACCCTGGCCCTGCAATGTCAGGCGCTCTGACTGACCCCTGTCTGAATCGACCCCCGTCTCTTGAGCCCCGACACGCACGATCGTTACCATCACCCGAGGGGCTGGCCAGGGGTAGCGCGCGCTACGCGCTAGGGGAGAGAAAAAACAACCTCCCGCGGGGTCGTCGAAGGCGCGGCCAGGCTGAGCCCCTGGGCGTCGTGGGTGCCGAGGGCGCGCGCCCGCCGAGGGCGGCGCCCCCGGCCCCCTGGCTCGGCCACGCGCAGAAGGGGGGTTTGGGGGAAGGGGAGGGGGAAGGTAGGGAGCCCACAAAGAACGTACGCGCCCAGCTATGTACATGAACACGGTCCCTTGAAACGCGAGACCAGCCGCGTGACACGAACATTCGCGCAATGCGAACTCTCGAAACCAGCGTGGATTCATGTACGTGTAGGTCCTTCTTTCGCTCCTGAGGAAGGCGCTGAGGCGAGGGCACGAGAGGCCGGAGCACGGCCATGTGCACAGCTGCTGCCCTTGCTGCAAGCGGTCGTGGCCGCCCAGACCAAAAACGTGACCAACGCGGAGGCGGGAGCACGGCCACAGCACGGCCACGTGCCCCGCTTCGTGGCACCGAAGGCCCAAATGCCAGCGCTCGCATGCGCCCACCGCACCCATTTTGGCACACCCCTCGCACGTGTCGTGGCCCAAAAGGGGAGGGCCCTACCGAAGGCCCAAATGCCAGCGTTCGCATGCGCCCACCGAACCCATTTTGGCACACCACTCACACGTTTCGTGGCCCCACAGTGAGCTCCTCCGAAGGCCCAAATGCCAGCGCTCGCGTGCGCCCACCGCACTCATTTTGGCACACCCTTCACACGTTTCGTGGCCCCACGTGGCCCCGGAGGGGGGAGGCCTACCGAAGGCTCAAATTCTAGCGCTCGCACGCGCCCACCGCACCCATTTTGGCACACCCTTCGCACGTTTCGTGGCCCCAGAAGGGGGGAGGGGGCCTACCGAAGGCTCAAATGCCAGTGTTCGCATGCGCCCACCGAACCCATTTTGGCACACCCCTCATACGTTTCGTGGCCCCACAGTGAGCTCCTCCGAAGGCCCAAATGCCAGCGCACGCATGCGCCCACCGCACCCATTTTGGCACGCCCCAGGGAGCCCCACCGAAGGCCCAAATGCCAGCGCTCGCATGCGCCCACCGCACCCATTTTGGCACACCCCTCATACGTTTCGTGGCCCCACAGGGAGCTCCACCGAAGGCCCCAATGCCAGCGCTCGCATGCGCCCACCGCACCCATTTTGGCACGCCACTCGCACGTTTCGTGGCCCCAAAGGGGATGGCCCTACCGAAGGCCCAAATGCCAGCGTTCGCACGCGCCCACCGCACCCATTCTGCCACACCCCTCGCACGTTTCGTGGCCCCAAAGGGGGGCCCGACCGAAGGCTCAAATGCCAGCGTTCGCATGCGCCCACCGAACCCATTTTGGCACACCCCTCGCACGTGTCGTGGCCCCAAAGGGGAGGGCCCTACCGAAGGCACAAATGCCAGCGCTCGCGTGCGCCCACCGCACCCATTTTGGCACACCCCTCAGACCTTTCGTGGCCCCACAGGGAGCTCCTCCGAAGGCCCAAATGCCAGCGCTCGTATGCGCCCACCGCGCCCAGCTTGACACACCCATCGCGCGCTTCGGGGCCGCACAGGGAGCTCCTCCGAATGCGCTGCATGCAGCGACGGTGCTCACAACTGCATACGGTTGGATCCTTCGCCAGGCCAACTTCCACTTCTCCTCATCGCTACGAAAACCCTCCAGCGAAGCGCCACTGGGGAAGCGTGGAAGTGGAGCACGCCCTGCTGCACGCTACTTCTGAGACTGCACTCCGAGGAGCTCGGGGATGCAGTGGTGCAGCGGTTCTGTCTGCGGCTGCCTTCGCGTCGGAGTGCCAACATCCACTCTTCCAACTCTCACAAGTAACTCAGCTGTCCGCTCAACGTCTTCACTCGGCGGCGCGCGAGGCGGGGAGAGTGAGGAGGAGAAGTCCGTCTCAGAGAGCGGCGGGGCTTCTCGAAAGCCCTCGTGCCTTCTGAACAGCTTTCTGCGTCTCCGGGGGAGCCTTAGAAAACTTCTCTGAAGGCCGGGGGACTTCAGAGCCTTCTTGGGAGGCCCGCCCCTTCTCACTTCCCCCCTCGCTCGCCGCCGACTCGGCCATTCGACCTCGTCTAACTCACCGACCTCGTGAAACGACTGCGCCTCTTCTGGACAGAATGAACACCCTCATTCATCTCCTCCCCCGGCGCGCGCGGAACCGCGCGCAGGGAGGAGAAGGAGGAGGAGGAGGAGGAGGAGGAGGAGGAGGGAGAGGAGAGGAGAAGAGGGAGGAGGAGGAGGAGGAGGGGGAGGCGGAGGAGGGAGGAGGAGGAGGAGGAGGAGGAGGAGGAGGAGGGGGAGGGGAGGGGAGGGGGGGGGGGAGGGGGGAGGGGAGGGGAGGAGGAGGAGGGGGAGGAGGGGAGGAGGAGGAGGAGGAGGAGGAGGAGGAGGGGAGGAGGAGGAGGAAGGAGGGGAGGAGGAGAGGAGGAGGAGGAGGACGAGGAAGAGGAGGAGGAGGAGGAGGAGGAGGAGGAGGAGGAGGAGGAGGAGGAGGAGAGGAGAGGAGAAGAGGGAGGAGGAGGAGGAGGAGGAGGAGGAGGAGGAGGAGGAGGAGGAGGAGGAGGAGGAGGAGAGGAGGAGGAGGAGGAGGAGGGAGGAGGAGGAGGAGGAGGAGGAGGAGGAGGAGGAGGAGGAGGAGGAGGAGGGAGGAGGAGGTGGAGGAGGAGGAGGAGGAAGGAGGGAGAACGGCACACGGGGAGGAGAGTAGAAGGACGGGGTGGAGAGTGAGAGGACGGAGAGGAAAGCAGGAGGGGAGGAGGTAGGAGAGGAATCCTTTATGCTCACGCGCCAGGCCTTGCCGAGCTGCAGGAGCATCGCCCATTGCAGCGGCGTGGGCACCTGAGCGCGATCGCCGCAGCGATGAGCGGGCAGCGAGCTCCAGGGCGGAAGATCACGAGCGAGGAACACACAGTCATCGTGCTACCGCAGGGGATCGCCAAAAGGAGGAACGAAGGGGATCTTCCGCGAATTAACGAGGAGGGCGATAAATGGGGAAAGAGAAGTGCCCTTCTCGGGCCCTAGAGGCCCCCTTTTGGGCCCTAGAGGGCCCCTGTAGGAGCCCGAAAGGGCGACTTTTCGGCAGCCCTCGCTGCCCCCCCCCCATTTATCGCCACCCCATTACGCGTCATCCGATCTTGGGGCCTCGCCGACACGCTGGTGATGCGGCGCGATCCCCCGACCCCATGCACTCCGACCCCGTCTGAGCGACGGAAAGATAGGGGTCTCACGCACGATGGCATGGCATGGCATCACGCGCCCTCCGACCTACAGCGCCTGGGCTGTGTCCGGATCCATGCCCTCGCGGCCTGGACACCGAGGCGCGATCCCGTGGACCAGAAGGAGAAAAACTGTGGCAGAAGCATAGAACTTTTGGCGCCCAGCGCAGATGCGTCTCGGATCTGCGCCGGACCCCCCTCCCCGGCGCGCGGAGCGCGCCAGGGGCGGCGCCGGAGGCGCTGCCGGGAAGGCTCAGCGCGGATCCAAGAAATCCGCGCGGACCGTCGAGTTGTTTCTCCTCGGTGGACGCGCGATCCCGTGGGACATGCGCGCTCCATGAGCTGAGCTGCGTGTATTGGAAAGTCGAACCTGCTTCCAAAAAAGCTGCGTGCATTGGGAAGTCGAACCTGTTTCCAAAAGAACTGTATTTTAAGCAGGGACCGACCGTCCTATAGTCCTACCACGACATGTTCTTAGAACCCAAAAATGTTCTAATAACAAAACCATGTTTTTTGAACATATAACCATGTGTTAAAACACGACTGTGTCAACCAGAAATGTTCTAAGAACATGTCGTGGAAACCACAAAAGAGTTGTTGAACACTGTTTGATTTGTTGAACACTGTTTGGTAGGGCTATAGGCGAGCCAGGACGCTCCGCCACTGCTTGAGTATTTAGAAGCAGTTTCGACTTCCCAATGCACGCAATTCTTGTTGGAAGCAGGTTCGACTTCCCAAAACACGCAGTTCAGCTCAGACCGCCGCGCCGGAACGCCCCGCGTACGCCCCGGGTAGCGGCCGAGCGGTCGAGCGGCCCGGACCGCCGCAAGGCCGTGGATGTGGGCGTGCCTCCCGCCCAGGAGGGGGAGGGGGAGGAGGAGGAGGAGGAGGAGGAGGAGGAGGAGGAGGAGGAGGAGGAGGCAGGTTGGGCGGGAAGGAAGCAAGACGAAGCGAGGACGAGGACTAAATCGAGTGAGGATCGACGATCCTCAGAGCGTGTGCTCGCGCC